ATTTTATGCCTCTGCCAAGGAGCACCCGCATGCCCACGACCCACGAGAGTACTTCATTTCCGTGTGTCGATACAATCCGCTTCTCATTCTCGGTGTTTCACTTTGCACATTGAAATCAGCATTCTGAGAATAAACAGGCTTTGCCAGGCTGCTGGAGAGGCTGAGGGGCAGAGAGAGCTGGGGAAGCCGCAGTCTGGCGGTGGGCGGTGGGCGGTGGGAGGCAGTGCCGTCCCCTCCCGCCCCTCCCCTTCCGCAGCTACTGGGGCCTGGTCCGCGGGAGGAAGGAAGCCGGCCGGAGTGTGGGCCTGCCCAGCTCTGGCCTGGCTGCCCTGGCGCTCTCCTCGGGACCCTGGCGCCAGCCCGTCCCAGGGCCAAGCGGGGAGGCTATTCTGGGAGCGCGTGCCAGGGCCCGGGAGCTCCTTATAAGGCTCCCTCCAGCAGCATGCTGCCGTCTGACCCCGGGGTCCACCCCGCCACCCCGGCCGGCCGGCAGACCTGGGGTGCAGAGGCCCCTGCCCTGAGCCCACTTCTCCCTGGGGTCCAGTTTCCCCGTCTCCAATGATGCTGTCCTGAAATTTCAACGAATTTCACCCACATCTTGGCCTTGAGGGTCCTGGGAGAGAAGTGGGGGGCAGAGCTGGCTCTCCACATCCTTATATGATGAAGCAAGCTCCTGGTCCGGGCTGAGTCACTGGTGTTTCGGGACTCAGCCATGGGAGTCAGTGATTCTGGCTTATTTTTAGACACCCTTACCGGAACACCTGGGTTGGGCCCAAAAATACATGTATTTTAGTAGTTCAAAAATATAACTTTATAGCAAGTCATCCACTGGCGAGACAATGCCCAGCACGATGTTTCCTGAGGCTAACGGGCCTGTGTTTCCTCCTCACCCAGCCATCCAGCCACCGCGTGGACCTGGCCCTGTCCCGATGTGTCCCCCCAGACACCCCTGCACGGGGCCACCTGTGTTTTCTGCTCCCCCTTCAGAGGGAATCGGGAGAACAAATAGATGTTGGAAACGTGAGACCAGGACCAGATTTTCACTGACTTCTCCCTGAGAGGTCTTGTGGTTGGACCCCTGGCACTTGGCACGGACGGCACTTGGTGTTGGATGAGCAAATGAAGCAGTGAGCGCTCGAGCCAGCCGGCTGTCTTCGGAGCCCAGTGCGGAGGCTGGCCCGCGTTGCAGGTGGTGGAGTCCAGTGGGGTTCTGCCGTGGCCAAGGGGCAGGCAGGCTGCTCTCTGCCCAGGCACAGGACTCGAGGGCCATGCCAGTTCCCTGCCCACTGCGTGAGGCAGGCCCAGGACACCACGGGGGGAAAGCAAGGAAAGCCTGCGGCCTTGCAACTTCAGGAGGAGCCCCTGGGCTCCTGCGGTGGTCCCTGGCCCAGCGTCCTCAGCGCCACCAGGAGCTGATGAGGACGCAGCCTCTCCAAGCAGCTCTTGCCCCTTGTGCAGATACCACACCAGGAAGACGTGCCTCGTGGCTCCACCCTGGAGGTGCCCGCGAACACGAACCTCACCTGGGCCGAATGCCGCCATCGGGGATGGGGTACTGGTTGCTTGGGGCCGCGTTTGGGGGTTCTGGGTGCCCACCCTCCCCTGCGGCACCGTGACTCACTCTCCAGGCCTCTCTACGATGCAAACTGCCCTGAAAGCTTTGTGCTCCAATGAGAACCAGCCTTCCTTCATGCAGGCTCAGTGCCTGGACCCTGTCCCTCCCTCCTTAGCCCTGGTGGAGAGTGAAGGTAACCAGAGACTTGGCTGCCCTCTGCGTTCATGGTGTCCAAGCCCCTCAGCTTAATCCATACTCTTCTTTTGAGATGCTCTTCTTAAAAAAATTTATTTAAATTCAATTAATTAACATATACTGTATTATTAGTTTCAGAGGCAGCAGTCAGTGATTCATCAGTTGCATACAACACCAAGGGCTCATTACATCACGTGCCCTCCTTCATGCCCGTCACCCACTTACCCCACCCCCCCATCCCCCTCCCCTCCAGCAACCCTCAGTTTGTTCCCTATGATTAAGAGTCTCTCATGGTTTGTCTCCCTCTCTGGTTTCATCTTCTTTTATTTTTCCCTCCCTTCCTCTATGCTCCTCTGTTTTGTTTCTTAAATTCCACATATGAGTGAAATCATATGATAATACAGATGGCCACCAGACACATGAAGAAATGCTCAGCATCGCTCGGCATCAGGGAAATGCAAATCAAAACCTCAATGAGATACCACCTCACACCGGTCAGAATGGCTAAAATTAACAAGTCAGGAAACGACAGATGTTGGCAGGGATGCGGAGAAAGGGGAACCCTCCTACACTGTTGGTGGGAAGGCAAGCTGGTGCAGCCACTTTGGAAAACAGTATGGAGGTTCCTCAAAAAGCTGAAAATAGAGCTACCATATGATCCAGCAATTGCACTCCTGGGTATTTACCCCAAAGATACACATGTAGGGATCTGAAGGGGCACCTGCACCCCAATGTTTATAGCAGCAACGTCCACAATAGCCAAACTGTTGAAAGAGCCTAGATGTCCATTGACAGATGAATGGATAAAGAAGATGTGGTTCATATACACAATGGAATATTACTCAGTCATCAGAAAGGATGAAATCTTACCATTTTAGATGCCATTTTAACCACTGCTTTGTAATGTGAGCAGACTCAGCCACAGCCCTGCCTCCCAAGGAGCCCCTCAGCCTGCCGCTCCACATGGCAGGGTCCCTCCCTGCCGTCCTGGAGCCAGGCATACAGTAGGTGCTCAGCAAGGATTTCAGTGGGAGTCTTATAGAGGCCACCCTTGGTGAGAAGTTGGCCGTGCACATGTTCAATCTCTCTGGGACGACCGCTGAAGGGGAACACAGTGTGAGAAGCCCTGAGCATCAGGCAGACCCCGCCCCACCTGCAGGGAGGTGGTCTCAGTTAGAAGATCCCCTCCCCAAGCCGCTGAAGGGGTCCCGGCAGGGCCATGGCAGAGACCCAGGGTCACAGGCTGCCCACGCGCATTCCCAGTGTTGGTTGGGGTCTCTGGGGTTCCCAGCGCCTTCTCACCTGCTTTTGCTGGAACATTCCACACGTTCTTTCCCATGGCTATAGGGTTGGGTTGTGGTGCTGGGCCTGCATTTCTCTCACCCACTCTACCTGGTCAGTCTCCTGGGTGATGTGGCTCCCGGGTCGGCACCGTCTGCCCCTGGGCAGGCCCTCGCCAGAGATGGCATGACCAGGGGGCCTTCTGGCGGGGTTCAGATGATCACAGGTAGCAGAGGGCACTAACATCCGTGTTCGGGAGTTGGCCTGGCACTGGACTGGAAAGGCTCAGATCTCAGGGCTGGGTTCCCTGAGTTTCGGGTCTCCGGGAGTCAGAAGACACTGGCTTGGCAGGTTTCCTCTGAATGGGGAGGGGCACCTTCTGAGGGTTTGAGTATCTGCTTACTTAGTGGAGCAGGAACCAGGGAGGGACTGGAAGGGTCAAGGTGTGGCTCAGGAGAAAGGTGCTGGGGGCATGGACTAGGGCATCAGATTCGGAAGGACTGGGAGATCCAGCATCATGGTTTACTGATGGATTGCTGGGGTATGGGTGGAGGGAGGTGAGAGACTGGGGTGTGGGTACAGTGATCCCAACTGGCTGTGGTTCCCACAGGCCATGTGGGCTGTAGTCCCCCATGAACTCTGGTCCCCATGAACTGTGGTCCCCCCATAGGCTCTGGTCCCCCCCCCGTGGACTGTGGTCTTCCCCATGGGCTGTGGTCTCTGTGAGCTGCGGTCCCCCATGGACTATGGTCCCCATGAACTGTGGTCCCCCCGTGGGCTATGGTCCCCCCTGTTGGCTGTGGTCCCTCCGTGGGCTGTGGTCCCTCCCGTGGGCTGTGGTCCCTGTGAGCTGCGGTCCCCCGTGGACTATGGTCCCCGTGAACTGTGGTCCCCCCCGTGGGCTGTGGTCCCTGTGAGCTGCGGTCCCCCGTGGACTATGGTCCCACAGTGCCCTCCCACGGGCTTGGTCTGGACTGCTGCCTCCCTTGGTCCTGCAGGCCCTATAGCCCAAGCCCCTCCAGAGCAGGTCCTGCCCCGAGACACCTTGTCACGGAGCTGGTGCAGCCCTCCCCCTCCGGGGTCTCTGAGAAGCCCGCCCGAGAGGCCTGCTCTGGCAATTGCCTCAAGGCAGAGCTAAAATTAGATAAAGCCATGCCCCAAAGATGCCCAGTGGCTGTGGCCATCCTTGTGGGCTATTTCTGAATCACTTGCTTGCGTCAACCAAGCCGGCCTGCCCCCAGGAGCCAGGGGGCCACGCTGGCCTTGAGCGGTGGAAAGGGCAGGGCTGGTGTTGAAAGGGGCTCTGTCCTCCACGGGGGCTTCGGCCCCAGAACAGCACACAGGGGCTTTGTTCTCCAGCCCGGGCCCCGGAAGGCCCCCTCCTTCAGCTGGGGACCTGGGGGTGTCTGGGGGGGCGGGACGGGACTCTCCAGGTCGTGGCGCAGGCTGACGGCCCCCCCCAAAGCGACTGCCCGAGCGTCTGCCCGCCTCACCCCTTGCCCAGAGCCCGGCCACGCGGCCGTGCCTGTCTGACCCTTGCCCCTGCCCGCGGGTGAGGCGCGCCAGGACGGGCAGCGCCCAGAACCCTCGCGGGACGGCTGGGAGAGCTGGCATCGGCCGCTGCACCCTGGTGGAAGGGCCAGCATTCTGATTTCTTTCACGGGCACTTTTCCTTCCCAGATCTCAGCATTTTCTCATTTTTCTTCAAGACAGACATGCATTGTGCTTTGCAATGAACACGATGCTAAAGCCTTAGCAGGCGAGCCCTGCTCTTCGGGTCCCAGAGATGTTCCAGCGGCCACGTTCAGGGCCCCAGGACCCCCTGACCCAACCCCCTTCCCCAGCCCCCCACTGGTATTATTCAGAACCTCTTCCCCCAAGACCATCTCTGAAGACGCCCCCTGCTGCCGGACAGCACCCCCCCCGGGCCAGCACCCGGTCCCTGCCGGCCCCTCTGACACGTCCTGCCCCCTCGTCCCGGCCCTCCACCTTCCCCTGGCTAGCTGGCAGGTACATTCTGCAAGTGTCCACCCCAGAGCAGCTCCTTACCCTTGCCAGCTATGGAGATAAACTCAGCCTTCAAACCTGAGGTCGTGGGTCAGCAATCCTGGGCAGCCCCCTGACTGCCTGGGGCAAATGAATCTTCCCCTCCAGGTGCAATGGAAGATCACGGGTTTAGAGTCAAGCTCTGCTGCACCATTTTCACCCAATGTGTGAAGCACCCACTGTGTGCAGGCATTGTGCTAAATGCTGAGGATGGAGCGTATGGGGAGAAGCACGGAGCTGCCCCCACGGAGCATGCCATAGAGGGGCCGGATGCAACCCAGTGAGGGACCCAGACAGTTACTTGCTGCAGGTCGGGGCAGGGCAGGGCATTGTGGGAGACAGACACAGTGCATGAGCAGGTGATGGGTCAGCGGGAGAGGATGTCCAGGTAAGACCTGGGGGCAGAGGTCCAGGGGAAGAACGGGTATGGGGGGGACCACACGTGCAAATGTCCTGAGGCAGGAAGGAGGGACTGTGGGAAGAAGGAGGTCTGTGAAAGTCTGGAGGAAAGGCCAGAGATCCCGGGGTGTGTCCTCAGCAGGTCAAGGAGCCCCTGGAAGGCCCTGAGCACTCGGATGCTGGTGGAGGCCTAATGGGGGGTAAGAGAGTACTGGGTTCAAGTGGGGTTGCTGCCAACACCCGGACGAGTGGGGTTTGGACCAAGTGGTGGAGCGGATGGGCAGGGTGGACAGGCAGGCTTGGAGGCTGAGCTCACAGGCAGAGCTAATGCAAGAGAAGGAGGGGGGTGTCTGGCACGCCTGGGGCCTCTAGCTCTGGGAGTCCAGGAGCCTCAGGGAAGAGGGTCCAGGGAAAGATGGGGCATTCGTTTTATGCAGGTCCCGTGGAGTGTCTAGGCTGAGCTGCCCTCTGAGCCTGGGGGCCCAGGATGGGGAGGGGTACAAGGAAACCCTTGGCCCACAGGAAGGGGGTGAAGTCGTGAGGTCTTGGGGTCCCAGACATGCAGGAAATCCCCGGCCCCAAATCTGGGTTTCTTCATCTGTGAAATGGAGGGAATAATGCTGGACGTTCTGGTCCTTTAAGGGAAGTATGATTAAAGGAGGAACAGTTTCTGAAAGTCCTGGGGCATGTGGGCTCATAGCATGAGCCGAACCCCTGTTCCGCCGTTGTCCCTGACCCCATGCACAGGCCCGGAAGCCCGGCATGGCCGCGGCAGGTTCTCTCCGCGTTGGGGGCGCTGAGCCCGAGGGCCCCACGCGTCTCTGAGCCGCCAGCTCAGTGAGGCTCCCTTCCAGGTAGGCGCTGGGCACGCAGACAGGGGGCAGTGCAGACTGCCAGTGGGGGGGCAGGGTCAAGGAGGGTCAAATCTGGGGGAGATGGTGCATCTTCGGGGAATGGGAAGTGAAGAAAACCATGTCTTGCCAAAATACAAAGACCCCTTTGATATAAAGACTCTGTGGCAACGTGGAGGACCAGTGAGGCATTTTGCTCCTGGAAGGACATTCCAGATATTAGAGAAAAAAAAATTGCTTTAAGACCCGAGGCTTTTTCAGCAGTGAAGAATAATCATCTCATTGTTATGAAATGCCAGGGAGTAGGAAATATTTTCAGGTACAGTTGGCCAAATTATGGCTTGTGGCTCTTTGAAATATGAAGTCCTCTTGGATCCATTGTAAACTGTCTCAGTCCGCGGGTTTCACTTCAAAGTTACGGTCCCAATTTAGCAAGAACAAGCTAACTCCCCTCGAACAGAGATCATTTTCCTAAACGTGTGTTGCTGGAAAGATTCTGTGACTCCTTTGGTTCCGAAATAACGTGAGCCTTCCAGGCGGGTGGCAAAGTTGGGGGGTTCCCGTGTGCCCCTCAGAGGCTCCCTCATGACCACGGGCCCCTTAGTGCTGGAGAACTGCTGCCTCCACAAGGATTCCTTCTGCTGAGGCTCTGCTGTGCCCAGATCCCGCGGGGCACCTGTCCCCGGCCCCCCGGGATCCCTGTCGTTCCTCGCCTCTTAGCTCCACGTGTTTGAGGGGCTCTGGTCAGGCGTCTGCAGAACTGTCCACTGTGGAGCTTCCTGCGTCCCTCGTGGACTCTGGCGAGCACAGCGCCCAGCGGGGTGCCCTCGCGTCACCTGCAGCTGGGGCTCAGGTGTCACTCCAGCCAGGTGCTGCGACGCTGACCGCCCCGTGACGGTGAGTCTGCCCCATCCCCCCCACATTGTCCATCAGAAGCCAGCGTCCTAGTCAGCCACACACACACGCAGGCCTCGGACCCCACCTGCCCAGGGGAGGAGTCTCAAGGAACGTATGTTACATGTTAAAACCAAAAAAGTGATTAATAAATATCTGGGGGAGACATTTTCAGGCTGTGCAACCAGCCCATTGCTCCCACTAACCCTGCACCCAGTGCTTCCATAAGGAAGGAGAATTTGTGCTTTCTGCTCATTTGCGGTTCCTTCCCCAAAGTCCCTTGGAACAGGATGCTCCCTGCGGTCTTCGAGACGCCGTGTCTGCTTGATCGATGAATGGTCAGTTTTTCTCCAGGCGTTCTGCAAAAGTTAGCACACGCACAGGTTTGCACGACCACCACACCCAGGATCCGCTCTGTGCTCCCCAACGCGCTCCCCCACCGACCCGTAACCCCTGGTCCGTCTTCCTCGCTGGGATTCGACTTTTCCAGGATGACCATAACTGGGATCGCCGGCTCCCACGCCTTACTGCCAAGTGGCGATCCGCGCTGTGGAGCGGCTCTGGGTGGTTTCCAGCTCACCGCTGTTCCAGATAAAGTGGCTCTGGCGTCCTAGCCCAGGTTGTTTTGTGTGAGCCCTGGTCTTCACCTTCTGGCACAAACCCCAGGAGTGCAATCCTGGGGCCTATGGTACTTGCATGTCTGGTGTTATAAGAAACGGCAGAACAGTCTGCCCGAGTGGCTGCCCCACCCACTTCCCCCCACGTGCCTCTCCCACGTGCCCCCACCCATGTGCCCCCCACGTTCCCCCATGTGCCCCCCACATGCCCCCATGTGCCCCCACCCACGTGCCCCCACATGCCTCCCAACTTGTCCCCACGTGCCTCCCCCATGTTCCCCCCCACGTGCCCCATGTGCCTCCCCCACATTCCCCTCCACGTGCCCCCCATGTGCCCCACCCACGTGCCCCCACGTTCCCCCCACGTGCCCCCATGTGCCCCCCACGTGCCCCCACCCACGTGCCCCCACATGCCCCCCAACTTGTCCCCACGTGCCTCCCCATGTGCCTCCCCACGTTCCCCCACCCACGTGCCCCCACATGCCCCCCACGTACCCCCCACATGCCCCCCACGTGCCCCCACGTTCCCCCCACGTGCCCCCATGTGCCCCCCACGTTCCCCCATGTGCCCCCCACATGCCCCCACGTGCCCCCACCCACGTGCCCCCACATGCCCCCCAACTTGTCCCCACGTGCCTCCCCATGTGCCCCCCCACGTTCCCCCACCCACGTGCCCCCACATGCCCCCCACGTACCCCCCACATGCCCCCCACGTGCCCCCACATGCCCCCCATGTGCCCCCATGTGACCCCAACGTGACCCCCATGTGCCCCCACATGCCCCCACGTGCCCCCCATGTGGTCCCCCACGCCGCCCCCCACATGCTCCCGGGCCACGCGGAGGAGCCAGTTTTGAAGGCACAGGGTCTCGGTCTTGCGAGTGCCCCTGTCCTGGGCTTCCCATCGGGAGCTCCAAATTCCTCGGGCCGCACCTGCGTTTGCCCTGCTGAGCTTTGGGGCCCCTCCAAGGAGGGTGTCCGCCTTTCACGGACACAGCCAGGGGGTCAGGGGACATTCTCTGATGTCCCAGGGCCCCAGCCTTGGGCGCTGGGAACCTGGCCGCGGGTGCAGCCTCCCCGAGCACTCCTGCCCCCCGCGGCCCTCCCCTGCCTCAGTGGGCTCCTTGGGGGCTGTGGGACAGCTCTCCAGGGCCCTCCCCATCGTCCCTGTGGGCATGTGCCCCGGGGTGAGCACGCCTTCCTCAGCGCACCCGCCCGGGCCTTGGCAGTCGGCTGACAGTCTCTAGCTGACCCTTCATACCACCTGGGGCGGCATCCCACAGCCCCTGCTCAGGTCCTCCCTCGGGGCCGGACCCCAGACTTCAGGCACTTCGATGGGCTCAAAAAGCTTTAACTTTGCAGTGTGTCCAGCTTTTCTCTTGTCCAGGTGGGAGCGAAGCTTCCTCAGTGGGGCTGGAGGGCTCTGCTGTGATCTCCGTGGGGTCACGCATCCTCCGGCCCCAAATACAAATGGCCCAGGACCAAAAAGGCACATGCATTATGGACCGAGGCTCCCTGAGGAGACACTTTGCACCTTCTGGTTCCCTTAACTCCACTGTGGATGGGCCTGGCTAGCTGCCCTGCCCCCACTGTTTCCAGCCCACACTTCTTTAAGAACCTTCGCTGGCCCTGGGTAGCCAGGCCAAACAGCATGCTCTAAATAATGCCAGGAACGGGCTTGGCTAAGGAAACCACCAAACAGGGATTGGGGGGGTTGTTTAGGGGCCCCAAATGCCCAGGTTCTGGGCTGTGGCCTCAGGCTGGGTGTTGAGGCTTTGATGGGTCCCAGTCTGGCCGGAGCCCTCCGCCACCCCACACTGGCCAGAGGGGCCCTCAGAGACCAGGCACTGGCCACAGGGGCCCTCGGAGACCCCGCACTGGCCAGAGGGCAGCTGGGAAGCCTTCTGTCCCAGGGTCCAGGGAGCACCGAGGGTGGGGGTCAGGGGAGGCCTGGGACTGAGGGGCAGTAGGGCTGGGGGAGGTGGGGCCCATAGCAGGGACCTCGTGGGGAAGCCCAGCCTTCCATGCAGAGCAGACCCTTCACTGTGGTGTAAGGCTTCCATCCACAGAGAGTCACGTCCCCTAGGCCCTCTCGTCAGAGCCTTCTCATGGAGCCTACTGAGGAGGGGAGGGCTGCAGGGGCAGGAGCACTCAGGGAGGCCACCCCCGAGACCAGGTTCCCAATGCCTGGGCTCCCCAGTTCGGTCAGGGTCCTCCCTCCTCTGGTCAGTAGAAGGCATGCGTCCAGATGTCCACATGCCTTGGGGCTCCTTCCAGGCCCAAGCTCCAGAGGGCAGGTCCACCTTCTCCCCAGCGCCATCCCTGTGCCCAAAGGGCCCAGCTGGGTGGACGCCGAACACACCGTGCCCCTCATTTCTCATCCACACAGGGGCACTATTAACTGAAAGAAAGTGCTCCCCTGAGGCAGGACAGAGACCCAGGCCCCTTTTGGTGGCTCCATATCCAGGGGGCAGATGGCTCAACATGACAGCGTAGCCACAAAAAAAGCAAGGGTGGGGTTGGGGGGGGCTCGGGAGGGGGTGGTTGTGGCCGGGCCCACGGCTGCTGTTACTGTGGACGCCTGGTTGAAGGTGCAGCCTGAGGACGCGCCTCTGACCTCGCTCTTGCCTGAGTGTCCGGTCATGACAGAGGCACAGGGAGGACAAGGCCACAGGAGCAGAGGGGGCGGGCCACAGCGGGCAAGACTTGGAGAAAACAACTTTTCTTTTAGAAAGAAGGCAGTCTCTTCAACAAATGGTGCTGGGAAAACTGGACAGCCACAGGCAGAAGAATGAAACCGGACCATTTCCTTACACCACACACAAAAATAGACTCAAAATGGATGAAAGACCTGAGAGACAGGAGTCCATCAAAATCCTAAAGGAGAATACAGGCAGCAACCTCTTCGACCTCAGCCGCAGCAACTTCTTCCTAGAAACATCGCCAAAGGCAAGGGAAGCAAGGGCAAAAATGAAGTATTGGGACTTCATCAAGATAAGAAGCTTTTGCACAGCAAAGGAAACAATCAATAAAACCAAAAGACAGCCGACAGAATGGAAGAAGATATTTGCAAATGACTTATCAGATAAAGGGCTAGTATCCAAAATCTATAAAGAACTTATCAAACTCAACACCCAAAGAACAAATAATCCAATCAAGAAATGGGCAGAAGACATGAACAGACATTTTTCCAAAGAAGACATCCAAATGGCCAACAGACACATGAAAAAGCGTTCAACATCCCTTGGCATCAGGGAAATACAAATCAAAACCTCAATGAGATACCACCTCACACCAGTCAGAATGGCTAAAATTAACAAGTCAGGAAATGACAGATGTTGGCGGGGATGCGGGGAAAGGGGAACCCTCCTACACTGTTGGTGGGAATGCAAGCTGGTGCAGCCACTCTGGAAAACAGTATGGAGGTTCCTCAAAAAGTTGAAAATAGAGCTACCCTACGACCCAGCAATTACACTACTGGGTATTTACCCCAAAGATACAAAGGTAGGGATCCAAAGGAGTACATGCACCCCGATGTTTATAGCAGCAATGTCCACAATAGCCAAACTGTGGAAAGAGCCAAGATATCCATCGACAGATGAATGGATAAAGAAGATGTGGTATATATATACAATGGAATATTATGCAGCCATCAGAAAGGATGAAATCTTGCCATTTGCAATGACATTGATGGAAATAGAGGGTATTATGCCAAGTGAAATAAGTCAATCAGAGAAAGTCAATTATATGATTTCACTGATGTGGGGAATTTAAGAAACAAGGCAGAGGAACATAGGGGAAGAAAGGAAAAAATAAAACAAGACACAGAGAGGGAGACAAACCCTAAGAGACTCTTAACTCTAGGAAACAAACTGAGGGTAGCTGGATGGGAGGTGAGTGGGGGGCTGGGGTAACTGGGTGACGGGCATTAAGGTGGGCATGTGTGTTATATGCAACTGATGGATCACTACCTCTGAAACTAATAATGTGGTATATATTAACTAAATTGAATTTAAATAAAAAAATTTAAAAAGAGTGTCTTTTTTTAATTTTGATTTTTTGCATTAATTTAAATTTTTGTTATTTTTGTAAGTAGGCACCACACCCCAGTGTGGAACGCAATGTGGGGCTCGAACTCACAACGGTGAGATCATGACCTGAGCCAAGATCAAGAATCAGATACTTAACCAACTAAGCCACCAGGAGCCCCTCATTTTGCCTTTTAAACTATTGTGTTAAAATATTGCTTGTTTTGATGCCTGAGATATTTGGCATCTTTCCCCTTAAAATTTGCCACCAGGCAGGTGTGGATGTGTGTGCCTGCAGGCATGCGTGCACCCACGTTGTGTGCGCGTGTGTGTGCGTATGTGTGTGTCCATCTCTTGCCCTGTTAGGAGGTGGACGGTGGGTGAGGGCCCTGAGCCTGGAGCTGGACTTGCAGCTTCTCATGGGCTCCTGGTAATAGGGGACAGGGCACCTTCCACCTCCTGACAGGGCAAGATACAGACGCACGCACACACACACACGTGCGCACACACGCACATGCATGCACACACGCACATGCGTGCACACATGCACATGCATGCAACACATGCGCGCGCATACGCGCACATGCATGCAACACACGCACATGCATGCAACACACGCACACACGCGCACACACGCATGCACACGCGCACACACAAACGCACGCACACATGCATGCACGCGCGCACACAGACGGACACGCACGCACACGCACACGCACTGCTTTTCACAGGAGACCCAGGGACCCCGTCTCTCTTCGTGCAGGAAAAAGACGTGGGCTTCATCCACATTCAGGCCCGATGGGACAGACGGGCCCGCGGTGCCCAGGGCTGTCAGCTTTGTCGCTCGCCCTCTCCCTCCTCATCCTCCTGGTGACGTCCTCACATCCATAGGAGGCCCCAGGCTCTGGATGAGGAGGCCGGCCGGGGAGTGGAGGCAGCCCTGGGCGCTGGCACAAACTCTGGGCAGGGAACTCACAGCACGAGGGAGCCCCCTTCACACAGCAGCCGAGCCCCGAGCCTGGGAGGGGGCACTGGTGTCCCCTGGGCAAGTGGCCGCGGGCCGGGATTGGGCATCCAGCAGGAAGCTCTGGCCCTAGTCTGTCCCGGGTCACCCTCCGGCCAGTGTGGACTTGGCCAGTTCTCTTAGGCACATGGCCTCCATTTTCCAAAGACACGACGCAGGGCAGGGTGGGGGGAGCTCCCTGCAGGCTGGCAAGATCCTTACCGCACAGAGCGTTCTGGCGGGCTTCGGCTGCAGACGTGTTTCTCTGTCCCCTGGGCGGGCAAATGGGGGCCACCATCCCTCTGCCCTGGGGCCCAGCAGGAAGGGAGCAGTTGCCGTTCTGTGGGTGGCAGCAAGCTCCCAGCCTGGGTGTTTCAAGGCCAAGTGTACCATCCACCAGAGGAGCGCCAGCACATGGGGAGGAGGTTTCCTTCTTCGTCCTGGTGGGGACAGACCCAGGAGCGGTGGAGGCTGAGCTCCGGCTGACCCGGTCCTGGGCCGAGGCCGGGCTCGTCAGGATGCACGCGGTGCCCACAGCTGGGGGCATGCGGCCCCCGCTCTTCCCCCATCCGACTCCGACTTGGACTGGCCGTGTCCTTGGGCTGTGGCCCGAGAGGCCTGAGGCCAACATCGCCTTCACCAGTTCCTGCGGTCAGCTCTGGCCCTGCCTGGAATGGAAGGTGCAGGAGTGGAGGCCGGGCAGAGGCGGAGCCGTCTGGGGCTCTGGCTTTCCGTGTTACGCCAGCATGAAGGCAAATTTACGGAGGCAGCATCTTTATTACCTCTACCCACCAGGGTGCAGACAAACCTAAACAAAATGAACAACACAAACCCTCAACCGTTTGGGTTTGATTTAGCAACTTGGGGTACCGCTCAAACGTTCAGATCTCTCCCCTGTCCCCTCCAGTACGAGAGCTGATCTCTCCCCTGTCCCCTCCAGTACGAGAGCTGGGTCCTGCGCTCACTCAGCTCACGGGGCTCCCGCCACACGGATGTGACTGGTGGATCTGAGCTTCAGCGTGAGGCCCTGTCGCCTCTCGTTGCCGCGGCCAGATCTGCTGTCCTACAGCTGGGAGGTGCCCTGTGTCTTCTTCACGGCACAGCTGGCCCCGGCATTGACGACCAGAGGTGTGGAGACTCGGGGCTGGAGGCAGGCCCCTCCTGGACCTGTCTCACGCTCGAGGTCCCCACTGGCCCTGTGTCAGGCCTGTAAGGGAGGAACCCCCTGGAATCTCAGATATTTTAGAGACTACAAACCACCCCAGCTTCCTGGAGAAGTGTCCTTGGCCCCAGTGTTTTCTGCCCAGCATGTTACCGGGCAAAGTTCCCATGAATCTGGGTGAGCCCTCCTTCCCTAAACTGGGACACTGCGTCAAAACACAAGCTTTGAGGGGCAGGGCAAACCCCTCTTTGTGGATACCGGCGATCTGTCCTCTGCCGAAACCCCAGGAGCAGCCACGGGGTTGGCCAGGAGGAGGACTGTATTCCATTTTTCTCTGCATCTCCCCTCATAACTGAAGAATCTGCACTTGTCTAATAAGTCCTGAGACCCGTAATGGGCCCAACTCCCCATGTTTGTTCACACGCTCATCAGACGCACACTGCCGCCTCCCGCAAGCGAGGTGGCACCAGGCACCGGGGCCCAGCCCGGCTCTCAGCACGGACAAGCCCGCGGACCCCAGGCCGAGGCACTGGCGTCTCCTCTTGGGTTCCCCAAGGCTTGAACTCTCGCCCACACCGCTGATTTTTCAGCGGAAGTCGGGCCCCACGCTAAGCCGGCCAGGCCACACCCCGAGTCCCCTCCTCCCCCTGCCCTCCGGCCTCGCTGGCCCCCTCTCCGGCCCCAGGCCCCAGCCCTGCCTGTCCGCAGGTTAGCATTGGCTGTCCGACCGCCTGCCTGCAGTGCTGCTCCCCCAGGAAGCAGGCCCCCCGCCTCACGTCCTCCAGGGTTTGTGTCTGGGGCTCCTCCGAGGGCCCATGACGACCCACCTAGAACCCCCCCAGCACCCACTTTATTTCGCCGGCGGGGACGAGCGTTCAGTGACTCACTGTCGCGCAGATGCTGCTGACGCGGGGTCCAGATACAGGAACGGGTGAGTGAGTGCGTCGTGGGCGGCCGGCCGCGGGCGGGGGCGCGGCCCGTGCATCGTGGGGGAAGGCAAGTTAGGGGTGGGCTTTTACACCACGATCTTAAAGCCTGACCCTTTTCCCTCAAGGGAGTGTAGGGACGGATTTCACCGTTTCAGCTGCTCGGCCGTGGATCCCGTAACACAGGGGCCTCGCGTGGGTCCGATTTTCGGAGAATCCACCCCAAAACCTCTGCCTCCGACTCCTCTTCCAGAGCAGACCGTTAGCGGCCTCGACTGTATAAAGTCCTTCAGGTTATCGAGGGCTTGTCGATTTCTATTTGGGAACTTACGCTTCCGGAGAGAGTCGTGCGTGGGACCCGGGCCGCGTGCTTTGTGAGGTTGCGGCCCCAACTCTCCACACCCCACCTCCGTGGCCTGACATCCATCTCCGCTTTTCCTTTGTCTGTGTCTGCGTTCAGTATGTTATTCTTTCCTCAAATCTTTAAATGACGTGCCTGGTTTATGTAATTCCAATCTTTTTTGGTATCTAAAATACTTTTAATCCCAAAGGTGTTGCTTGGACGGAATCCCACAGGAACGGACCAGGAAACAGCGCCTTCTCCCTACGGCCGCTGTTTGCGGGTCCCACGTGCTAGTTCTCTGCTTGCTGCCTGGTTGTACGCGGACGTCCCCGCCGGCGCCCTTCCTCAGCCCTGCGCCCCCCACCCGCCGCCCCCTGCCGTGGGGAGCGCCCTTCCTCAGCCCTGCGCCCCGCCCCCGCCGCCCCCTGCCGTGGGGAGCGCCCTTCCTCAGCCCTGCGCCCCCCCAACCCGCCGCCCCTGCCATGGGGAGCGCCCTTCCTCAGCCCTGCGCCCCGCCCCCGCCGCCCCTGCCATGGGGAGTGCCCGTCCTCAGCCCTGCGCCCCGCCCCCGCCGCCCCCTGCCGTGGGGAGCGCCCTTCCTCAGCCCTGCGCCCCCCCAACCCGCCGCCCCTGCCATGGGGAGTGCCCGTCCTCAGCCCTGCGCCCCCCACCTGCCACCCCCTGCCGTGGGGAGCGCCCTTCCTCAGCCCTGCGCCCCCCCAACCCGCCGCCCCTGCCATGGGGAGTGCCCGTCCTCAGCCCTGCGCCCCCCACCTGCCACCCCCTGCCGTGGGGAGCGCCCTTCCTCAGCCCTGCGCCCCCCCAACCCGCCGCCCCTGCCATGGGGAGTGCCCGTTCTCAGCCCTGCGCCCCCCACCCGCCGCCCCTGCCGTGCGGAGCGGCTGGGCTTGACCGCTCTGATTTCCCGCAGGTGCTGAGACTCCATCGGGAGGTGTACCTGTTTGTGTTGGTTCTGTCTCCACGTCTCCCATTTCTTGGCTCATCGCCGGCGCCGTGCAGTCCACGCGCGCAGGAAAGCGTCTCAGCTTTGCCGACCCCTCCGCGTGCTGCTGTCTGTCTGGACGTAGAGCCTCTTTCCTGCCAAGGGGAATCGTCGGAACCCGCTTGGGAGAGCAGGCCGGGGGTTCCTCTGTGAAGTTTCGTGGGACTGCAGACCCGCCGTGAGGTCTGACAGGCCGGTTCTGTCCCGCCCCGCGGGGCGGCCCCATCCCCCGCAGCCGCAGGGCCTGCGGGGCCCATGCGCTCTGCGGGGAAATGCGGAACCCTGCTTTCACGGCGGGCGGTTCCAGCAGGCCCGAGTGCAGCCGGGCGGCCAGCGTGGTGGCGCCATGGCGGGGCCTCCGAGGAAGGGAAGGCCCACGCCTCCAGGGTCGCGGCGGGGGGGGACGGAGGGAGCAGTGGGACAGCAGGTGCCAGGCACCACGGCCCCCCGACAGGTGAGGAGGTGCCTCTCCGTGGCCCAGAGGGAGTGCAGTAACTTCGTGACCTTGAGCACGGTGGCCCCGCGGGCCTGGAGTGAGGCGCCTGGGACAGCAGTTTGGCCTGCAAGGACCCCCCACCACACCCGTGTGTCGGGCCCCATGGCTGGGGCCGAGGGCCGGTCAGAGCAGCCCATTCCGAAAGGCCCAGGAAATCGCAGCGAGGCCGATCCGTGGGAGGCAAGAATCCCTAGGAGTGTCCCGTGGTTCTCTGGTCCCTGGGGCCTTGTAGGGGCTCCCAGTGCCCGAGCCCCTCTGCAGCCCAGGGCAGGCACCCACTCAGCCGCGGCGGGCGCTGACGGATCCGTCCTCACAGACCAGCCTGCGGGATGCTCACGAGCCCCCCATCTCCCGCTGCTCCTCCCGTTCAGATCTTGGGTGGCAGCCCAGTGTTGACGGTGGCCCTGATTTTGCCGCGTGACACCCCAGTGTTCCTCAGACCCGCCATGCACTGTGACCCCAGGATTTCCCTGGCTGACACGGTGCTCAGATACACCAGCTAAGGGACACGCAGGGCTCCACAGTTGGTGATACCTGTTTGGCACATCCTGGACCTTGGCTTACCTGGGCAGGGCCTGGACCCTCCCTGCGCACACCGTGCCCTCCCCAGCCCCGTGGTCCCCAGCTCAGCACAGAGGAACGAGTCCGCACACGGGAGGGACGCTTCCAGGAAGGGGGCAAGGGCTTCCTGGAGGAGGGGGCACTGGGCACGACCTTGGGGAAGGAGCCCACCGCCCTGAGGCTGGGCCCTCTGCTCTTCTGGGCATGTGCAGCACCCAGGGCCCCTCTGGCCACGGGGGTCCAGTGGCCTGTCTCCCCGTGGTCCCCATGATCTGGATTTGCTGCCACAGAGGTCCCCTGGCCTGAGGGTCTCTGAGAACCCACCAGGGAAACAACCCCTGTGGCTTTTCTGCAGCTTTGCTCTCCACACGCGGGTGTGGGAACCCTGTGGATGCGGCCGTGGGAACCCCCCGTGGACACGGGCGTGGGACACCCCCCACCCCGTGGATGCAGGCCTGGCCACCCAGGGGCTCACCTCGTCCTGGCCTCAGACTTCCACTTGGAGAGGGTGGTCCCCACGGCGGTGATGGGCACTGCTCCCACGCCCTTCCCAGCAGTGACCTGCTCTCACCTCCTGCACTCAGCGAAGACCTCCCCATGGGACATCAAGTGCCCTCGGTCAGCCCTGAAAAGTGTGATGTCTCATCATGGTTTCTCAACAAATTGCCCTGAGTACAATGAATCAGCTTGCCTACCTTCGAGGCACAACGTTTAGAAGGTCTGTGGTTTTTACACCTGGGAGGAAGAAAAAGAGAAATCTCCCAGGTGTTTTCATGGTTCCAAAAAAGGAGAGATTCGTGGCCACAGGTATGTCTGGAAACCCTGCCACCTGCACAAAGCTTCTTGTGGAATTTGCCAGGAATGTTCCGCGCGGACAAAGGAGGAGCTCCTGCTTTTCTTCCCAGGGGTTGTAGGAGAGTCAGCGAGCCAGATGCAGAGCTGGGATCATGGGCCCACGCAGTGATGGCGGAGACCCCGAGGCGAGGCAGACGATGGGCCAGCGCCGCTCTCTGAGCCACGGGAGCGCATGGACGTGCCGGCCCCACGGATGGGGTGGGTGATGTGGCCCCGGGACAGCCCCCTGGAGCTCCAGGCCACTTCTGTGAGGACAGGACGGGGGTGTGTTGGTGACGGCAGGCCACGGAGGGGGCTGCACAAACACGTCCGAGATTTCTCATAGACAAGACTGCCCTGCTTCTCTGTGAGTTCTCAGGACTTGACGCTCAGCCGTAGGGAAGCGCGTGGGTTTTTACGAAGAAGGGGTACCATACTCTAGTTCTAGGTGGTGAGCACATCAACCAATGGGGGGGCAAGATCAGGCCCAGGAGATGCGCCAGCTCTTTTCTCATGATGCTTTAATATAAAAGCCTGTATGTTCATTGCTCCCACTTTTCTGGTTAATCGGCCTTTTCCTTCTTGTCCCATTCAACAGTTTTCGTATCCACGTTCACAGGCCACCTCATACCTGTCCACACCAAACAGTATGTTTAGAAGATCCCCGTTTAGTGCATAACCACATCTCACTTAGACACATCCTGTGGGTGGCAGATGAGACCTTGGTCATGTTGCCACTACGTTTTGGCTTCAAGAAAAGCTGCCGTGGCTGACGATGAGCCAAGAGGAGTGAGGCGAGGTCCCCGTGGGCCCTGCGGGACACACGGGAAGTGAGTGACCAGGAAGGGGCCTCCCCCGCCCTCCTGGCCCCGACCTCACACATCCAGCCTCCAGAGCCGCGAACAACACACCTGTGTAAGCCGCCCGGCACGTTGTGCTTTGTGACAGCAGACTGAGGGGACTAGGGCCCCTCGGGGAGCAGTTTTGTGCTATTGTAAGATCATCTGAGCTGTCGTAAAGTCCTGCTTATAAACTAAAGAAAAGGGAGCAGTTATGCACCTTACAAGTCATTTACAAAATGTTTAATCAGGTGATGAAACGACCAGAGGATTACTAAAATGCCCACTCTTCTTATACCCCAAAATAACTCTAAACCTTGGTAAGAAAGACTCCAAATTTGACATTTAAAATGAATAATATTATCACTAGGAAAAACCATATAGGGCTTATTAAACATGGGGACTGTGGTTTGGCTCCCTTTAAAAGAAGGTTTAATTAGTAGGCTTTGCTTTCCTTGTTAGAGCAGAAAGCGAGCGGAGAAGGCTGAGCTCCCACGTCCCCCACACGGCTCGTCCCCACTGTGGCGGCCTGTGTCTCACGTCGGCGGGGAGGGCTCACCACCTCTGCGAGTCTGTTGACACAGGATTGTAAACCGAGGTCCCCAGCTTACAGCAGGATTCACCCCTGTGTCTGACATTCTAAGGGTACGACAAACTGACAAACATCCACTCGTTTGGCTCCTGCGTATTAGGTGCAAAGCCAAACGGGGCCTTCCAGAGATTCGAATGTGGGGGCAATCCTCTTTGTTATATTTTTCCTTCTGAAAACATGACCTTTAAGGGAATGTTTTAACCACTGGCCACAGTTCTGCACACACCCACGAGCACGTTGTCTTATCTATTGCAGGGTGTGTTGCCAATTTGCCGACGAGTAGCTCAGAGCGGTTTTTCCTTCTGAGTGTAAGCGTATACTCACAACAGAATCTTCGATTCAAGCTACAGCTTGGTTTCGTGCAAGCGTTTTAGTTTTCCGGGCTATAATCTCTCCCATGTGAACACCTGCACCCATCCGTTCGTGCGTTTGCTCGCTTGTCCGTGCTTTCTGCCCAGGTGCCCGTCACCCTACAGACTGAGGTTTCAGCCCCATCTCTTCTCAGAAAGCACAGGCTTTGTTCAGACAGACCCAGGCTGGGGCTAGAGTCAGCGCATTGCTCACACCATCGTCACCTCTGGTCCCACCACTGTGGCTTCAGGCGGTCCCAGGACAGGAAAGGGAGAGGAACAGGGAGCAGAGGGAAGAAATCAACAAGTGGGGATTTCCTGCTCATCCGAGTGAATCAACAGCCCCGTTATCCCTGGGAATTTAATTTTAGCTCTTAAAACTTGGTCTTTTATACTAGTATAAATACCAAAATTATAAAATGTGCAAATTTGTCTAGATGAAAATTCCTATGTTGCTCTTGACATTATTTCCCCCCTGAAAGTCACAAGCTGTGCACCGTATGAAAGTGGACATTCTTTCTTTCATTCGTTCTTTCTTTCTTTCTTTCAGTGGACATCCTTTCGTTGTCAGTGTATCTGAGGTTGACACAGGAAAAGTATTTAGACACAGAAAAGCTGTTTTATTCCTAATTGTTCCAGGCATCTAAATGTCGGGAAACAGCCCTGTACTGGGGCCAGGTGCTTTGTGCTCGGAGGACCACCGGGCGTGACACTGCTGAGACGCGGGAGGCTGGGGTCTGGTCCGGTTTACCCCCAGTGGCATCTCCCAGAGCACAGCCACCACCAGCTAGGCGTTGCCGGGGGCCCTTTGACCTGCCAGCACACAGGTGAGGGGACAGGCTTGGCCACCCTCGTCCTGCCCCTCGATCTGCCCCTACCTAGCTGGCACGTGTAATCTCTGGGGGGGAGAAGCAGATGCAGTGGAGACACTTCGTAGGCAAGGCGCTCCAGAACGTGCACCAGAGTCACCCAGAACTCCGATGATGTTCACATCTGACCAATTCCCAGTCCACACCTAAGACTGGAACGCACACTGATTAGCCATTCTGGAACACACCACGCACACCTGAGTGCATGCCAGGCTGCCCACCCTGTCTGGGTGTGCCTTGTTCACAGCAACACGCATGCAAACTCAGCCCCTCTCCAGAGGGACGCTCTTTTTACTAAACCTTTCCTTCTGTATTCTTTCAAGCTTCATGACAACAAGCACGGAGAGGGGGGTAATTGTGCAGAAAATCCAAATGAAGCTACAGATAAATGCTGAGGATTGAGAGTGAATTTAATGAAGGCATGGAATTGGGGGTCGGTGATAAAGATGTTCTAGAATTGGCTGGGATGGTTGCCTAATTCTGTGAATATACTGAAAAACATTGAATTTTAAATGGATGAATTACGTGGCATGTGAATTATGTCTTAATAAAGTTGCTGTTTTGAACAGTGAGTTTAGCAAGAACGCTGGATATAAAATAAACGCACAAAGGTCAACTGTACTTATATAGACCTGTAACAAATAATGAGGGAAATAAAAAGAGACTTTTAAAGGGACACCATCTCCATAGCATTGAAGAAATATCAACTATCCCTAATAAATCCCACAAAAGGTTCTGGAAACTATAAAACATTTATTAAGGTAGGTTAAGGAAGACCTAACTAAAGAAAGGAAAATGACATATTTGTGGATTAAAAGACAATTAAATTAATCTACAGATGCACTGTGATCCCAGTTAAAACCCCGGCGTGGGGGTGGGCTTGGGGAAGGGGCATATCGCCAAGCTGATTCTAACGTTTACATAGAAATTTGAAAGGATGAGAAAAGCCAAGACAACTGTGCAGAAGATCGAAATGAGGGTCTACACAACCAGATACTAAGAATTAATATAATGTAATGCTATAGTCGTTAAGATCGGGTGACAAATAGACCAAAGAAACGGAACGAAGGGTCCGGAAACAGACACACACGTATATGTGATGCTTGATTTATGATAAATGTGGATTACAGAACAAGGGAAAAGGAAAATCTCTCTAATAAGCAATTCCAGGTTAATTGCATATCCATATGCGAACGATGAAACTTGAGTTGTAGTTTATACCACACACAGAAGTCAGTTCCCAGTTGGCCCGTAGGTGTACACATGAAAGCTAAGCCATAGGTGCTTCTAGAAAAAAAAAACAGAAGATGTGTCTAGCACTGAGCCCTGGAATCCCCATCCTTAGAGGGTTTCATTCATGGGTGGGGAGGACCCAGAACCAAGAAAACCAAGCAGATAGAACAGAGAGCACAGAGCCAGTTGCAGGGGGTGGGGGGCTGGGGGTAGGTGGGGGCTGTGTATGTGCAAGGACGTAGAGTTACGGCATCAGTTAGCAGGGTAGACTGGCAACAACCCCAGGGTTACTGATGAATGCTAGCCTAGCCAGATAATGGAATATTGTGCGGCTCGTAGAAACAGCCATCTCTGTATTGGGCTGTGGAAGAAAACCCCACTTGGATGGTGTTGGGTGTATCCAGGTAGAGTTGAGAGGAGGGAGCGTGACATAGCACCATGCCCTCCAGGGAGGTGAAGGCAGGGGGCCCACCCACAGGTCAGCGCGACCCACTCAGAGGGAATTTAGTGATGCTGCTGGGGGCCTGGCCGAGGTGAAGGAATCTGACCTCTGCTCGAGTCAACACCCACCCACTCCACATCCAGGGCTAGCCAACGGCGGAGGCTTTGGGAGGTTTCTCTGGTGTCTGCAAATTGGCCAGTGGAATGTTCAGCCCATTGATGGTCAATCGGATGGAGCTTGGATTTCGAGTCGGATGAGGAAGTTGGATTCTTACCAGAGGAAGAGGGCTCCTCATGGTCAGCCATGCACTTAGCTGGTCTAATGCACGACCTCTGGCCTCGGTCCTGTGCCCTGCACCGTACCAGCTGCTCGGGGAGGCAGGACGATGGAGGCACGAGTTCCTCTTTGGGGATCCACCTGCTCCTCTCAGGGTTAGCACACACGCACACACATCGTTCACCGTACGACCCAGGCTGGAGACCCCAGCTTCCCCGACTGGTCCTCTGGTTTGCGTCCTGTATTCCTCGGGCTCGGTTCTGTCTCCCACTTGAGCTCAGATGACCTGCTCCTGGGCCCTCGCGCAGCAGTCAGTCACTGCATGTTTGTTAATGAGAATAACACGGGGAAACGGAGTCCCAGCAGAGGCATGCAGTGGCTCGTGATGACATTTAGAGACTGACAGCTACGTCCAGACCCCTCCTGGGGCATTCTCAGATGTGAGGCGCCGCCGCATCGGCCTCCTGGGAAGCTTGGACCGGGGGCAGGGCAGCCTCTTCCTCCTCCTTGCTGTGTGGTTGTGGGCAAACTACTTGACCTCGCTGGGCATTCAAGGTCCTCATCAGTAAAGTGGGAGTCAGGATGAATCCAGGAACCTCCTCGTGCAGCAGCTTGAGGAGAAAGCGGGAGTGCTGTCCAGCACACGGCATCTGGTCTGCGGTCACTTGAACCCAATTCCACGCACTCTGACTTGTGGACCGGGGGCCTGGCTGCTGGGACCTCCAGTCTCTGAGAGACAGACTTCCCACTTGTGGGCGCGCTGTGTGGCCATGTGTGCATCGCTCTGCAGACCTTCAGGCTGTCGGGAGTGACGGTCTTCGGGGAGCACCGCAGCCGTGGAGGAGCGAAGAACGAGACAGGCTGGCTTTCCGGCCTCGGTGCTGGTGCGTGAGACTCAGTCGGCTCGGGGGAGACTCCGAGCCTCCGCCTCTGCTTGTTCCTACATCACTCACACGAGGGGCTCTTGAATTTACGGAGGGGCGTGCACACACACGCTCTGCACGGGCCCACACGTACGAGTGCACATTTGCACCTAGATCATGGGGACCCTGGGCCTGGCTGGCCTGGGACCACCGCAGTTTTAGACTGAAGATCCTATGCCCGGCGGGGCAGGGTGGCCCACGGCTCCAGGCGGGCTGGGGCAGGTGGTGGCCCCGACCGGGACTGAGGCGGCTTTTCCAGGACACACACCACACCCCGCACTCTCCGTCATGCACCCGCACGTTTCAGAGAAGTTAGTGGTTGCTGATACCATTTTAAGGGACTGACCAGTTCGACTGGTCTGTTTCTAACCAGGAAAACCCGGGTGAGGAGTCCGAGGGAGGCCGGGAAGTGAAGGGCTGGGACTGGGTCACACGTAGCCTAGTGACCCCCCGTCCCCCTCCAGGACAGGGCCTTGAGGATCTCCGGCTTCTCGGAGCCCAGCTGGGCCTTCTGAGCGCAGGTGCGGGGCGTGCGGTCATGGCTCGCCCACGCTGGGCTGGAAGCATGTCCTCAGGAGCCGGGAGCTGCTCAGCATGCTCCCTCGGCCAGTTTCTGCTGCCCCTGCCCCACCCACGTCTCTGACTGGGGTTTCTGCAAGGAGGGCCTTGCTCCAGGCAGGGGGTGCCCCCACCCCCCGTCCCCTCCATCAGGCCTCGTGGCTTCACCTGGATGTGTTCCTTGCTCTGGGGGAGGCTCTGGCTGCATTGGGACTGTGGTATGGCCGGGGGGCAGATGCCAGGGCACAAAGGTGAGGGGTAACAGTGTGCGGGGGGGCGGCCAAGGAGACTCGAGGGAGGGCCTGGTCTGCCCCCAAGTCTGCAGGACTTCTGGCCACACTGGGCCCTTGCTCCAAAGACAAGTCTTACGGATCCTCAGGACATGGCTGACGCTGAGCTCCAGTCCACATCCCCAATGCCACAGTCCAGTGATGCCCATGTCCCAGCTCTGGGGACACAGGGAATCCTCCAACCAGGACCCCGGATGAAGCTGCATCGTGTCCTCTGGGGTGGGGACTCACTCTGGGGCGGGGACTCACTCTGGGGCATCTGAGGGAAGCTGAGGTCTGCTGAGGCCTGCTGAGCCCAAGGACACCCAGGCCCGGGTCCCACAGGGAGAGGGACACTGCGGCCCAAACCTCCAGCAAGGTCTCCACCCATCACACCTCCCAAGACACGGGCCAAAGACACAGTGGGAGACAATTTTGCCCAGTAACTTCGCACAGAAAAATCAGAGTTGGGGCAGGGTTTTAGCCACGGCGGAGATGACTCGAAGCAGGAGCTGAGGCCTCAGACCCAGAAGCACAGCTGCTGGAGGGGGCCGGTGACATGCGGACCACGGGGGAGCCCCCTGGTCTCACGCTGGCTCACGACGTCGGACGGGGGACGAGCCCTGAGCTTGTGCTGGAGGCACACGTCTGGACGCCTGCCAGCCGCGCCCGGGGCTGACCTGGCAGGACGGCAGGCTCAGGCGGCTCCGCACCGGCCTCTCACACTTTCCAGGGAGGCTGTGCCGACAAAACATACAAGCAGCTCAGCAAACTTGTCTGAGTGACGGTTAAAGACCCTCCCGCCTGGCGTGCGGGGTGCTGAAGACTTGCGTTGGGCGCACATTCAGCGAACACGAGGGCTGCAGAGCATTGTGGATCTGAGGCCTACAGAGGCCGGGCCTCCCTGACTCCCCATGCCCACCGGCAACAGAGCCTGGATGGCACTGGGGTCACTGGAGGAGGCACCTCCACTCCTCGCCCTGGCCCTGGAGCCAGAGAGGGGAACCCCTGCTTTGGGGGTGCACTCAGCCTGTGTGCGGCCTTGACAGGTCGGCTCACCTCTGTACCCCGCCCCCACAGGAGCCCTGGGGGTGACCCTGGGCCCACGGTTTCTGGGGAAAGCAGGGTCCAGAAGGAGCGTGCATGGCCCACCCTTCCTGTGGGGGCAGGAGGGCTTATCTGCCCCTCCCAGGACCATTTCCTTCCTCCCACACTGGTGACCCTGGGGCCCAGGCTTGGAAAATCTGACTAGTGAACAACAGCAGACCTCCTCTTTCCATACATCGGGAGGCTCATGCCCTGATCCTGCTCACTAGCATCTGGGACCCATTTCCTGCTGGTCGAACACTGTACGCCCTGGGCCCCAGCCAGCTGGCCTGTCCGGACCTTCGGTCAGCCCCTCGCCTGTCAGCACACATGGAAGCCACCCAGGGCAGCTTCTGCCTTCTCTCTAGAGTGGCCGCCGGCGTCTGGGGCCACACAGGGCCTGAGATACTGGGAGGTGAAGGAGAGGGGGCTTTGCAGAAGCTATGCCAGAAATCCGTGCTCCTGGGGCGGGGGGTGCTCATGGGGAAGAGGCCCGTCCGGCCCGTCCAGCTGCCGGACTGGACAGCTGTCCTGATCCAATGCCTGGCGCCATCCCCTGGTCATGCTCTCTGCCCCCCTCAGGGCCCATGCACAACTTGGCAATCCCCACTGGACCCTCAGCAGCCCCCCTGCTCTCAGCCCCGCAGCTCTGTCCTGCGTGCCAGGCATCCCCTCTGCCCATCCACACACCGTGTTTGCTCATAGCCTTGCAGCTGGAGGAGCTGAAGCTGGGGGACCCCCCGCCAGGGGCGGGGGGCTGCAGCACCCTGACCTCGGCAGCTCGTGCCAGTCTCCCCCAGGAGGGGCAGGGGTGGGGTGGGGGCAGCGCAAGGGGAAGCCTCTTGCTGCCCCCCACCCCGTGTGCCCCGTCTCCGCAGTGGGCCCAGCTTCATCACTGTGTCCTTCATACATAGCAGTTCACATGGACCAACACGCACACGCTTACACACACACGGATGATCAAGCTAGAATGAGGTCTTGAGGGTGGGCTCTAA